GTTGCAAGCGAAGGCACCAATTTCCATCCTGCACGTCCAGCATAGGGTTGAGTCCTTATACCCGCTGTTTCCGTATCTCGCGCGTCCATCACTGAATCCTAACCTAAAACGCACCTATCTGATACGATTTGCCCCCGACGCACCTCTGGAGGATCTCAAGGCTGTCTATGAACAGAGTCCATTCGTTGAGGCTGTCGAGTATAACTACCTCCGTCCCCTGCTCGCAGATGCTGTCATTCCCAATGATCCGATGTATCCTGAGCAGTGGAACCTACCACTGATGAAGCTACCGCAGGCGTGGGCAATCGAAAAAGGCGACATAAATGTTGTAATTGCGATTATTGATTCCGGTATCGATTATAGACACGATGATTTGGCACCCAAGGCGTGGATAAACCCGGGCGAAATCCCTGAAAACGAATTAGACGACGACGGCAACGGTTACATCGATGATGTTTATGGTTGGGATTTTACGGACGCGCCTAATTTGCAAGCAGAGGGCGATTACCTTGAAGGCGATAACGAGCCAATTGATGAAAAAGGACACGGCACGCACGTCGCTGGTATCGCCGGTGCTATGCCTGATAACGGGATCGGTATCGCTGGAGTCGCGTGGGAGTGTCCGCTCATGGCAATACGCGCAGGACTCTCCATCGGTGGGAGTTCCCGAATGCAGGATGATGACTCCGCCGCGGCGATGGTCTATGCTGTTGACAATGGTGCAAGCGTCATCAATATGAGTTGGGGCAGTGAGCGTCGCTCTTTCGTTATTCAGGACGCAATCGATTATGCTTATGCACGGGGTGCTGTCCTGGTCGCCGCTGCTGGCAATTCTCAGAAGCCTGCCGCAATCTTTCCCGCTGCCTATCGGAAAGTCATCGCTGTTGCATCTACTGAACAGAATCAGCAACGGTTCTACCAATCTAATTTCGGTGCGTCTGTAGACATCGGTGCTCCCGGTAACGTGATTCTCAGCACACAGATTAATAACCAGTATCGGCTCCTCACGGGTACGTCAATGGCTTCGCCACACGTCGCTGGTGTTGCAGCGTTAATCCTCGCCAAACGTCCCGCGCTGACGCATGAAGAGGTACGACACATACTCATCAGCACTGCTGACCCAGTCTATCAAGAGGATAGCGATGCGTTGGATGAGAAATTTGTAGGGGCGGGCACTGTCAATGCCGAACGCGCCCTCTTCGCAAGCGGCGCATTGCAGGCACGTATCCTTGCGCCTGAAACCAATAGCGGCGGCGCAGATTCAATTACCGTCGTCGGAACCGCAGGCGGCTATAAGTTCCACTCGTGGCAGCTCAGTTATGGCGAATCTACAGTCCCTGTCGAATTTACGCCTTTCACACAGTCTTCCAGCACACAGAAAATCGGTGAGACGTTGGCTGTTTGGGATACAACAACGGTTCCAGAGGGGATTTACACCGTCCGTTTAACAGCAACAGCCACGGATGGGCAACAAGTGCACGACCAAGTCGTGTTGAGTGTAGACCGGACACCCCCTCAAATTATCTCCCTTACCGTAACGGACACACTTTACGGCGAGCGACCCCTTACGATTTTTACATGGGCAACAGATGATGTTACCCAGAATACACTCTATTACCGGCGAAAGGGGAGTCTCGCTCCTTTCGCTCCTATTGGGACAACTGATCTCGGAGTAGAACATTTCCTGTTTTTAGGTTTGGCGCGCGGAACTTACCAGTTTTTTGTTGAAGCAGAGAATACGACAAACCTGAAGGCGAGAGAGGATAACGGCGGAGCGTTTTATACCGCTGACATTGTTACTGGCTATATATCGCCAAGCGGATTCACTGAAAAATTTCTCGATATTCCACCACTCCACATCGCGAGCGTCACCGCAGACTTCGACAGAGACGGTCAGCTTGAAATCGTCGGGAGTCCGTTGTCCTCGGAAACTCTCGATGCCGAGTTGCAGGCTGCTATCCTCACGGTCTATGAACGTCTCCCAAGCGGAAGATATGAACTGGCGCATACCCTTGAAAGTGTGGAGGGACTCTCTAATCTCGAAAAGTTCATTACGTGGACGGTAGATGACACCGATAACGACGGTTTGCTTGAAATACTGGCTACCGACGATGCGAGAACCTTCCTCATTGAGAGTCTTGTCCCGCGTGGGTACCCGCAGCAGATTATCTGGGAAACCCCATTTCTCTCCGGTGGTACGATCGCTGATATGGATGGTGATGGACAAAAGGAAATTATTGGTGCGGATAACAACAACGATCGACTCCTTATTTTTGAATACGACAGTGCGACAAACACCTATGTTGAGAGGGCTGTATTGATTAACGAATCCGCTGGCTCTAATGTATTTTCCCAACGCTTCGCTATTAACGATTTTGATGGTGATGGAAGCATGGAACTGGTAGCAGCGGATAGCGAAGGCGATCTTTTCGTTTATGAATCTACCTCTATCCGCAACACGTTCCGACTTGAATGGCAGACGCAACTTCCGCTTGAGGACATCACGCAACTCGCTGCAGGGGATCTCACTGGTGATGGTATACCTGAGTTTGTCGTGGGTGGTTTGCTGTCGCTACCGGATAACCCTTCGGGACCGCTAATTTGGAAGTTTTTCGTCTTTACGCACACGTTACGTGGCTACGCGCTGCTCTCTGAAGGGACGCGTAATGCGACTGTCGCCATCGCGCCACACCGACGAAACGGGAATAGTCTCGCAATCGCAGACTTGGGAGGCGATGGTCGCAATAAGTTGGTCATCGCTACGTATCCGAATCTTTATGTGATGCAGTGGGATGGCACGGCAATGTCACCACTCTGGCACCGAAAGATGGAGGAAACCCCTGCGCTTCTTACCGCGGAACTCAACCAAAACGGGTTTGATGAGTTTTACGTTAACCTTGAAGATGGTATTTACCGCTTTGAATCCATCTTTGCAACAGATCCAGATGCCAATGATACGCTCAAACCTTGGAATGTTGAAGCGAGGCCGCTGACACAGAAAGTGGTTCACGTTACATGGGATGCCGAGGAGAACGACGAAACAGATGGCGAACAGTCGGGTCAGACGCGCTACTTTACTGTCTATCGCGCACAAGGGGAGAAGAAGGAAGCACCCGCATCTGACGTTTATGAAAAGGTGGCGGAAAACCTCACTGTCACAAGATTCCTTGATAGACGTGTTACGAAGGATAATACCTACTGGTACGCTATCACGACTAAGGACGAAAAAGGTAACGAAACGCAGCGCACCGAACCCATTTCTGCTACACCGCGAGAACCACCCCAGCTGATTGGGGCAACCTATCACCGTCCAGGTAGTGATGGACATCCGACACAGTCTGACTCTTCATATCGCTGGCAGGTTCAGACACCGAATGCGGTTTCTATGAGTGGGAATTTCTGGGTCCTCGTTACCTTCGACCGGCGGATGGATCCCGTGATTGGGGACGAGAACCGGTATGTCTTACGAGCCGAGCAACGGATTGGTGGTGTGAGTCCGGTGTCTGCTATCCGTGACCGGATGGGCACACGCGCCCTCTTGGCATTTGATACAGACAGTCTTCTTGAGCACTTCGGGCAATCGCTCACTGATACAACGGATCAGTATGAGATTACCGTATCCAACGTAGTCGATATTGATGAAAACCCTATCCGTGCTGCTACGCGTCCACTTGAAATACCACTCGGTGTTATCGGAGCAGAGGTGTCAGATCTGACGCAGGTACGGGTCTATCCAAATCCTGTGCGTCCCAACGTCGCTGACAAAGGGTCAATCACTTTCGACAGGTTGCCTGTCGGCACACGCATCCAGCTCTTTACCGCAGGGGGAGAGTTGCTTGAAACATTGGATGTGACCGATCAGGATCACAACCACAAGGAGTGGTGGCTTACGAGCAATAACACCACAGACGTATCAACCGGTATCTATATCTATGTCCTGGAATTTGATACCGAAAAAAGAATCGGCAAAATCGCAGTGATTAAATGAACGACTTTATTCTCATCGCAAACCCCATTTCTGGTAAAGGCAACGCGAAAAACATTGCTGAAGAAGCTTATACTGCCCTTACTGAATCTGGGGCTCAGGGACAATTGATGTTCACCTCTGCATCCGGCGATGCCAAGCGTTTCGCGCAGGAAGCCACCTCTGATGGAATTCGATCGGTGATTGCTTGCGGTGGCGATGGGACGCTCCACGAAGTTGTCAACGGCATCGCGACGGCTCCAGATGTAATCTTAGGGGTTCTTCCGTGTGGGCGTGGCAACGATTTTGCGGCGGCAATCGGTGTGCCGCTGAAACCTAAAGCCGCAATCGCAACCCTCTTATCTGGCACTCCTATCCGTGTGGATTTAGGATGTTGCTATCAGAATAGCAGTCAGCAGTCAGCTGTTAATCCAAATGATGTAGCTCGTAATGAAATGGAGAGCGGATCTACGGAAAGGTGCTTCAATGTCCAAACCTCACTGACCGAACCGCAAGGAAAAATTAAAAACTATTTCACCACCATTGCCACCTGTGGTTACGATACGGAAGTGAGTCGCCGTGCAGCGAAAGGAACGCCGCTGTTTGCAGGCACTGCCTCCTACGCTTACGCAGCGGTGGAGACACTTTTCTATTACGAACCGCCGTTCGTGCGTCTTGAGGGCGATTTCGGTGTCCATGAGGGACCGATCCTCCTCGCTGCGACAGGCATCACAAATCGATATGGTGGTGGATTCCAGATTGTACCGAACGCTCGCATCGACGATGGGCTTTTCGATGTTTGTATTATCCGTCCAGTATCCTCTCTAACGGTGTTACGGCTCATGGTGACGCTTTTCTGGGGAGGACATGTTTCGCATCCTGCTGTATCCATGCACCAGACCCGCACTTTAACAATTGAGACCGACACACCCATACTGTTGTATGCCGATGGCGAACCGATGTGCGAAACGCCGGTGACGATTGAGATAATAGAAGGGGGGCTTACTGTAATGGCACCCCGTTGATTCTGCTTTACTTAGGGGTCCTCTGGATACATTTTCTCAATTGCTTCCCCGTATCGCTTTATAATAACGTTCCGCTTCAACTTTAGCGTGGGGGTCATCTCATCGGCTTCTTGGGAAAATTCCTTATCAAGCAGCGTGAACCGTCGCACCTGTTCAAAGTCCGCGAAATCGGTTAAACGGCTCCGAATTTCACGTTGAATGAGTTGTTTCACCTCGCGCGTTTCAAACATTGTCGCAAGATCATCTGTCGCAACGTTATTCTCGGCTGCCCACGCCTTGAGTGCATCAAAATTGGGAACGATCAGTGCAGCGAGATTCTTGCGTTCGTTGCCAACCAATATAATCTGGTTGATAAAGGGGCTTTGCACCAACTCACTCTCTATCGGTTGCGGTGCAACGTTCTTACCGTTGGAGAGCACAATGATGTTCTTCTTCCGGTCGGTAATCTTGACAAACCCGTCCTCATCAATGATGCCGATATCGCCTGTGTGAAACCAGCCCTCTCCATTGATAACCTCTGCTGTCGCGGATTCGCTGTTAAAATAGCCCTTCATGACGTGTGGACCACGGGTTAAAATCTCACCATCTTCAGCGATTTGTACCTCTACACCGGGGACAGGCACGCCGACAGTTCCGAACTTCCATTGTGCTGGATGGTTCATGCTGATGACAGGTGAGGTTTCCGTTAAGCCGTACCCCTCCAAAATCAGTATCCCCGCCGCGTGGAAAAATTCGGCGATCGATTGCGGTAACGCCGCACCCCCTGAGACGAAAAAGCGTAGTCGACCACCCGTCGCTGCCTTCAATTTCGCGAAGACCAGTTTGTCCGCGATGTTCTGCTGTAATTGCAAAATTGCAGACGGCTTTTTCCCCTTTTGAATCGCTGAACTGACTGATGAACCAACGGAAACACCCCAATGGAAAATCTTCTGTTTGAGCGATGAGCCTTCCTGCACGGTACGCAGAATTCTGTCATGCATGGTTTCATAGAGTCTCGGCACACTGAGCATCACCGTCGGAGCGACCTCCCGCATGTTTTGTGCCACCGTGAACGTGCTCTCGGCGTATGCCACCTTCGCACCGGAGATCAACGGCACGTAGTGCCCACCGAGCCGTTCAAACACATGCGATAACGGTAGGAACGACAACAACACGTCTGCATCACTGATGTCGATAAGCGATTTGCACGCCTGTAAATTTGAAATGAAATTCGCATGTGTCAGCATGACGCCCTTCGGAGCTCCTGTTGTCCCCGACGTATAGATAATCGTTGCGATGTCGTCTTCGCTCGTGTGGAGGGGTTTCTAACCCCGATTCCTTGTCCATCTCCGTCCAGTTCACAGACTGCCTCAAATTGGATAACACCCTCTGGGCATTCGCCTTCAATCGGATCAAAGACAATTATCTGTTCAAGCGTCGGCACTTCGTCTCGGATAGCGGTTACCTTCTCCAACTGCCTGCTCGTGGAGACGCAGATAATTTTTGATCCGGAATCTTTTAGGATGTAACCGACCTGTGCCGCAGTTAGCGTTGAGAACATCGGCACGGTTACCGCACCGGCTTTGAGGCAACCAAAATCCGTGATTGCCCATTCGGGACGGTTCTCAGAGAGAAGCGCGACCCGATCGCCCTTTTGCACCCCTAAGGCATTTAGCCCTTTACTAAAAGCGTCCACCGATTCGCCAAGTTCAGTGTAAGAGATGTCTTGATAGGTACCACCTTTCGGTTTATGTGCCAATGCCGGTTTACTGCCGTAATGCTGGATTGAATGTTCTAACATAGATATCAGCGTCATTGTGGTGTTTCTCCTGTTTGCCTCGCATTGTCCCGCAGGCCTCTATAGGCTTGCGCAGAGTTTGCCTCTATCCTAACGTACGAGCTGCCGAAAGTCAAGTTAATCGTTCCTCTTGCTGGTAAGATCGATCTCCTTTCCACTCATAAATTTTCATAGCAACCTTCACAGAAGATTCCTACAGAAACCGCAAATAATCCAGTCAGAGCATGGGTTTGAAACCTCTTTTGGGATCCATCACTTTTCGAGTTTTGCTATGAAAACTGTGAAATTAGCATCGTTTAGAGTCGCTTACAGTGAACTGACAACTGACCGCTGATAGCCGATAGCTGACTGCTGATGACTGACTGCTATTCTTCTGGTGATCGCAAACGAAATTCTACCTAAACCTGTTTTTTTCTTGCTTTTGTGTGACGAATTGTGCTAAACTATAGCAAATTATCGCAGTAGACCCCAATTTAAACAAGATCTGAATAAATATTCGCAAAATTGTGGAAAATGTGGTAAACTCTATCGTAAAGTCATCCGTTGCTGTCTGAGGAGACGTTCAAATGTACGATAAGAAGAATCGTAAAACCATGGGTCCAAACCCTGACGGGAACGACCTGTTTGTTGAAGATGACGAAGAACTTGAAGAGGAACTCACCCCTGAAGAGGAGGCAATGAGTTCCGGCTATGCGTTGCAGCTAATTCACCACATTATTGCCGAGACCCCGGTGGACGACCGGCGCCGTCGGTGGCTGTTGGAACTCCGGCGTTCTATCCTCAACGACGAAGGTGAATTTCAGGAGAGAATCCGCTCGATTCAGCAGGAGGCACTCCGTATCCACGCCGAAATGGAAGAGCAGATTGAGAAGCTCACCGCACCCGCGAATCGAATCGGAACCCTGCTCGGATTACCCAAAGAGGACATCGCCCGCGTCATCGTCGGTGGCTCCGAATACTACGCGAACATTGATACCGAACTGAAAGCGTCCGACCTTAAAAAGGGGTTCAGTGTCCTATTGAACGACGCTTTTGTCGTTGTTGGTGAACTCGGATACAACGATGCGGGTCCTATTGCAAAGATAGCCGATGTTATGCCGGATGGACGGATCCGTGTCGGTCAAGAACCGAACGCTCAATCTGTCATCCTTGAACGCTCCACAGACCTCATAGATACGAAGCTGAAACCCGGTGATGAAGTTCGGATCGACTCCAACTTCCGGGTCGCTGTTGAACATATCGCCGCGAAAGAGACGGACGCTTACGCGCTTGAGGCGGTGCCGAATATACCGTGGTCCAAGGTGGGCGGACTTAACGATACCATCCAACGCATTAAGGACACCATCGAACTCCCGATTCTACATCCCAAACTCTTTGAACGGTTCCAGTATAGCGCGCCGAAAGGTTTTCTTCTCCACGGTCCGCCGGGATGTGGGAAGACACTCATTGGCAAGGCGACCGCTTACAACTTAACCCAACGCCTCCAAAAGGAAAGCGGTGAGGACGTTGAAGGGTGTTTCCTACACATCAAGGGACCCGAGATCCTCAACATGTGGCTCGGTGAATCCGAACGGAAGGTCCGAGAGATTTTTCAGATCGCCCGTGAGAAAAAGGAAGATGGTAAACTGGCGTTTGTCTTTATAGATGAAGCGGAGTCGATATTAGGCACACGGCGTGCCCTCAGATCCCATAGCATCTCGAACACACTTGTCCCGATGTTTTGTGCAGAGATGGATGGCATTGAATCTCTACAGGATGTCGTTATTATCTTGGCGACTAACCGTCCCGACCTGATCGACCCTGCCGTTTTACGTCCAGGGCGTATTGATAGAAAAATTAAAGTGACCCGTCCAAATGCAGAGGCTGCGAAGGATATCTTCCGCATCTACCTCACCCCTGAGTTGCCTATTGCTTCACTCCTTGATGCGGAGAACGAAGCGGCACCGAAAGAAGGTGAAACGCAACCCGAAGTTATCCCGGCTGAGAAGGCTGTCGCAGATCTTATCGCACAGGCCGTTGATGAGATGTTCCGTGAAGACGAAGACAACCGATTCCTCGAAGTTTCTCTCAGGAGTGGGAGGCGCGATATTCTCTATAAGGGACATCTGTGCAGCGGTGCTATTATTGAGTCGATTGTGCAGCGGGCGAAGGAGTCCGCGCTCAAGCGTGCGATTCAGAACCCAGAGAAGGAAAGTGGTATCACACGCGCCGATCTGTTAGACGCACTCGCCGCAGAGTATCACGAAAGCGAAATCTTCCCACCGACCGAGGCGGTTGAAGACTGGCTCAAGCTCCTTGATTACGATCCGGCGAATGTTGTCAAAATTACACCTATCAAGACTGAGAAACAGGAACGACGCAGGGCCTCCGGATCACGCGTCATTTAGGAATGGCTATCGGCTATCGGCTATCGGAAACCGTCAGCAAAGAGAAGAGTGTTTCTGACACGCTTGCATCTTTGCTGATGGAAACTGACGGCTGATGGAAACCGACGGCTTTAAAAAAATGGAAAGACTTTTTGGAATCGAAACTGAATACGGAATAACACTCGAAAATGAAGCGCATATTGATGCCGTCAAGCAGTCAATTGAACTGGTAAAAAGTTACCGACAAGAAGATTTTCGACCTGTGTGGGACTACCGCGGCGAGGATCCGCTTCGAGATGAACGCGGCTTTCGAGCGAGCTCGCTTTCCAATCATCCTGATGAAAAGGAAGAGGAAAAGCACGACCAGAAACGCAATATTAAAGAACGGCTCTCTTTTGCTGAAATCAAAAGCGATCACATTCTCACCAACGGCGCACGGCTCTACAACGACCACGCACATCCAGAGTATTCGACGCCTGAATGCAGCAGTCTCTTTGACCTTGTCGCACACGATAAAGCCGGCGAACGTATCCTTCAACGGTGTGCCGAAACACGCAGCCAGAAACTCGGAAAACGGGTGCTTTTATACAAGAATAATACCGATTTCCATGGGCATAGTTACGGTTGCCACGATAACTATCTGATGGCGCGCGAAGTACCCTTTGAAACACTCAAACAGGGTATCATGCCGTTCTTTATCACACGCCAGATCTTCGCAGGTGCCGGAAAAATCGGCATTGAAACAGAAGCCGGACTCGCAACCCCAGGACACTATCAGTTATCCCAACGATCCGATTTCTTTCACGTCGAGGCGAGTGTGGATACGATGCACAATCGTCCTATCGTCAACACGCGAGATGAACCGCACGCTGATGCATCCAAATACCGTCGGTTGCACGGCATCGCCGGGGGATGCAAATATGTCCGAATACGCCACGGCACTTAAAGTCGGAACAACGGCACTCGTGATTGCCTTGATTGAACAGCGGAGGATTCCAGAAAGTTTAGCACTCGTCAACCCGATTGACGCCATCAAAACTGTATCGCATGATCAGACGTATCGTTGGATAGTCATGACGGCAGAAGGGAAAACGATGTCCGCTATCGACCATCAGCGTGAGTACCTCGCACTCGCACAGAAGCATCTCAGTAGCGGCGATGTTACCTCGACCCTACCTGAAACTGACTGGGTGCTTACCGAGTGGGAGGATACCCTCAACGCACTTGAGACAGATCCGATGTTGCTCACTGACCGACTTGATTGGGTAGCGAAGAAATGGTTACTTGAAACGTTTGCTGAGGAAGAGGGAGTCGCGTGGGATGACCCATGGCTCCAAAGTTTGGATTTAGAATATCACAATATCGATCTTGACGAAGGGCTATACTATGGGATTCCGATGCGGCGTATCGTCACGGACGAACAGATTGATGCTGCGCTCCATAATCCGCCTGCTGACACGCGGGCATACTTCCGGGGGCGCGCTGTAGATCGATTCAGTGACTCTATAAAGGCTATCCAGTGGGATAGTATTACCTTCACTGTAAACGGACGCACCCGCGAAATCAATCTAAATGCCCTCGCGGATGCAACGATCGCACGTCAATATAACGAGGCACTCGATCAATCGCCAACCGTTGAGGCGCTCATTGAAAAGTTGAATCTATAGAAGAGCCGTCAGCAATCAGTTAAAAAAGTAGATTTTTCTTGACAAAACTATTTTTTGAGACATCCTGCTCTTCAAAGCGGTATTCGTAGGCGTTTTGGGGGTTCAATTCCCTCCTACCGCATCCAGTAGTGTTGTGTAAAAACCAAACACATACCTATGATAAACAAGTAGGTTTCTACTGCGATGGGTTCATACACGAGTGAGACGAACCCAGACACTGTGAGGACACTCGGAAGACCAAAAAAGGCGTTAGCATTTCGGTGCTAACTTTGTGGGTTCCACCACACCACGCGTTCCTTGTGGTGTGCATACCGTCTATAGTTTCTGCACCGTCGCAGAGTTCACCATAGGCTATAGACAGGCTTAGGACACGACGGTGTCCGTAACAGGGGTAGGATCCCTCTAAGCGTCTATGCATTCCATAAAACAGATATGTGTAGATTTTTAGGAACAGATACAGCATGACAGCCAAGATGATTGCTCAATTTGAACGGAAGCAGAGAGACACCAAACCCATCGGACCCGGTGATGGCGATGGCGATAACGAGGGACCCAAACGACAGAAAGCCAGTCGGCCCGATACTCAAGAACTGCTCAAACGGATGCGTCGTGTTGACAAAGATCAGTCCAGACGCTACCGCCAAAGAACGGGGGAGTGATGAACGATAGAGGCGGCTTCCCTAAAGAGTCCGGGAAATTTGCGCTACAGGGAGTCATGAACCATAAAGGTGACTTCCTAAACCTTTTAAAACACGCAAACTATCCCTTAAAAATAGATTTGCCATCGGAAACTACACAGCACGGTACTGATATTGAGATAGCACACAGTACGACTGTCGTCGTTGTACGTTACCGAGACGGGGTCATGATCGCGGGTGACCGGCGTGCTACCGCTGGCACCTCTGTCATCTATGATCGGGCGGAGAAAGTTTTGCAGATTGATAAGCATTCTGCGCTTGCTATTTCAGGTTCGCCCGCAATCGCTTATGAAATCGCCAGAATGTTGGAGCACTCGTTTCAATACTTTCGCCGCAGTCAGCTCCAAGAGTTGAGTCTTGAGGGCAAGCTCCGAATGCTATCGCGACTCATCCGGGAGAATCTGCCGATGGCACTCCAAGGTATCGGGGGTGTTATCCCGATCTTTGCCCTCTATGATTTGAATGCACCTGATGACGAAAATGGCGGAAAGATTTTCTTCTATGATGCACTCGGTGCGCACTTTGAAAACGTAAATTTTGCCACGACCGGTTCCGGCTCTATTTGGATTCGCGGTGTTTTACGTTACGTCTCTCGATTCGGTGATACGCCTTTGCAAGAGATGGATGAACGGCAGGCAGTCATCACTATCTTACGCCTCTTGGACATCGCAAGCGAGTACGATGCCGCGACAAGCGGCTACAACGCGAAAGCACAAATTTTTCCAAATGTCAAGACTGTGACACGCATCGGTGTTGAAGATATTTCCGATGATGAATTGGAGTCATGTTACGCTGAAGCGCAGCCGGATGCAGAGGAATAGCCGTCAGCATATTGGCAGTCAGCGGTCGGCAGTCGGTTCAGAGGTTTTCGTCTAACAGAGGGTTTCTCTTAAGATAACCGCAAAACCTGTAGCCTGTAATGAAATGGAAGGCGGATTTGAGAGGACACTTTAGAGTGCCAAGCCACCTCTTTTAACCGCAAGGAATAATTAAAAAACCGCAAGGAATAATTAAAGAATGCGAGATGAACCGTATCGCTGGATAGAAGCGATTCATGACCGACGAGATTACATTGAAGACCAGCTCCGGGGCGGTAGTCCTGTTGTAGGACTTACCTATGACGAAGGCATGGTGCTACTCACTATTGGTAGAGGACAACGCAAAATTTTTGAGGTGCATGACCGAATTGCGCTTTCCGCAATCGGACACCCTGCCGATATTGAACGGCTCCGAATGCTTGTTACCGACACCGCCAGCGTCCAAGGTTTTCAAAATGCCATCGAGGATGTAAACCTACACCGACTCACGAACTTTGTTTTAGCACATACCTTCAAACAGGCTTTTGAGTCCATTGTCGGTGAAGCGTATATTATCAAAATGTTGCTCGCCGAACTCGGCAGCACTGATGATAAAAACCGTTTTACCTGTATCAACTACGACGGTAATGTCCGAACAGACACAACCTTTACTGTTATCGGCGGTACAGAAGCAATTGAGACGGGGATGCAAAAATATCTCACTACTGCTGCTACAGGTACCGACAGAGATTTAGCCGCTGCACTCCAGTTGGGTTTAGAAGCGTGGGCAGTTGGTAAAGAATTGAGTTCACGAGAGCCAGAGGAGGCTGAGTCGGAGGAGACCCAGATCGATTCTGTGCAGATGCACGAAATTATTGATGCCGCACGGGAAGACGGTGAGATTGAAGCAGGGGTTTTGGAAAACATGCATCGCGGTACGAGTAAGTTTCGTCTCTTAACTTCTCAGGAAATTGAAACTGCCCTCCCATAATTTCTTTTCCTTGTATTATATTGCGCAAGCCCGTAATGAAATGGAGGGCGGATATTGAGCGAAAACCTTCAACTTCCAAACCGCGTCGTTCCTCCGCAAGGTAAAATTGGCAGTTGGTTATCGGTTATCGGTTGTCAGTTATTGGTAAAGAGGTGTTCGTTAGTCCCAAATCCGTAGCCTGCAACAACGGCGCAGGCGGATATGAGAAACGCACGTCAGAGTCCAAATGCAGGCTGTTCCTCCGCAAGGTAAAATTAAAAAATGAACAAAAGAATTTTTGGGATCGAAACTGAATTTGGATGCATGACGGATGCCGAACGAGTTCGTGGCACCTCTGAAGGGGTTGCGGCACGCGTGCGCGATTATGTCTTCGATGTCTTGGAACTCGGTCTTCGGGACATTCACTACCGAGACTGGGGCGAACCCCCGGGTAACGGCGGGTTCCTATTCAATGGGGGGCGTCTCTACATCGATATGGGACATCTGGAGTACGCTACACCCGAATGTGGCACACTCTTTGACCTTGTCGCTTACGATAAAGCCATTGAACATGTCATCAACGGTATCCTTACGGATACGGGGTTGCCCACAGCTTTCTTCAAAAACAATATTGATCATTTCACAGGTGCAACCTTTGGATGTCATGAAAACTTCCAAATCAGTCGAGACGTTCCTTTTTACCGTGTTGTCATCCCGACGCTTATGCCCTTCTTCGTTACACGCCAGATTTACGCAGGGGCGGGCAGAGTAGGGGCTTATGATGAAATGATTGAATTCGGCGATTTTCAAGATGAACTTGGTGAGCAACAATACTATCAGATTTCACAACGCTCCGATCACATCGTCACTGAGATTTATGAATGGATCCAGTTCAGTCGCGCAATCATCAATACGCGAGACGAACCACTCAGCGATTACACGAAATACCGTCGTCTCCATCTTCTCGTTGGGGATTCCAATATGTCGGAGTACGCAACCGCATTGAAGGTAGGCACCACTGCACTCTTGCTTTCTGCTATTGAAATATTCCACGAGATGCATGGCGAAAAATTGCCGCTCCCGGGTTTTGAACTCGCTGATCCCGTCTACGCGATTCGACACATCTCACGCGATAGTACCTTCACATGGCGCGTCGAACTGAAATCCGGAAAGACTATCTCCGCTGTTGATTTGCAGAGAGAGTATCTTAACTTCGTTCAGGCTTTGATTACCGAACGCGACGAAGAGACCGAGTGGGTGCTTGCGGCATGGGAGTCTATCCTTGATGACCTCGAAGATGATTGGCTAAATGTTATTGATCGTGTCGATTGGGCAGCAAAAAAATGGCTGCTTGAAGCTTTCATTGATGAAGAGAAATTAGATTGGGAAGATCCTTGGATTAAAAGTCAAGATTTAGAATATCATAACATCCGTACTGAAAGTGGACTTTACTACGCACTTCAGGAGCAGGGTCAGGTGCAAAGGGTTGTCACCGATGAACATATTCTGCACGCCGTTGACAACGCACCACAAGATACCCGTGCCAAAGTTCGGGCGTTCCTAATGCGTACGCTCACCCAAAACCGAATGCCTTGTATTGTTGATTGGCATCAAATATATGCAGGACATACAGAATATTTTGAGATGAAAGAACCGTTTGACACCAACATCACGAAGGCGCAAAGATGGATGAAAAGGCTACGGAAGCGACCCGCGCGAACTTGATGTGTCGCCGATGTGTGCCGAGGACTTGTGCCTGGTTATCAGTGAGAACGGCTATCGGAAACCGTCAGTCATCAGCAAGAGAACCTTCTGGTGGTTGCATACACTTTATATGCCACAGACTGACTGCTGACCGCTGACGGTTATTCTGCTGACTGCTGACCGCTAATAAATAGAACGACGCCTCAAGCTGTTGAACAAGGAGAAGGACCATGGCAGAAGACAGATGCGTACATACAGATTGTGAGGGATTTTACCGCCGAGATTTTCTCAAAGCCGGTGCCCTCGGTTTGTTCGGTCTCAGCCTCACAGACCTGTTCCGGCTCAAAGCGCACGGTGCAACTACATTTCAGGAGAAAGAAACCGCTACCTCCGTTATTCTCGTCTGGTTGGGGGGCGGCCCAAGTCACCTTGATATGTGGGATCTCAAGCCGGATGCCCCTGAGGAAATTCGTGGGCTTTTCAAACCGATATCGACAAACGTTACCGGTATTCAGATGAGCGAGCATCTTCCCAGACTCGCCCAACAAACCGATAAGCTCTGCATTATCCGCTCGATGACCTCTCCAGAGGCGGCACATGAGCGTGGAACGCACTATATGATGACAGGTTATCAACCCTTACCGGGTTTTGCTGTCCCAGGATATGGTGCTGTTGTCTCCAAGCTCAAAGAACAGCGGAGTGCATTACCTCCCTATATTGCTGTGCCTGCTCCGGTCGCTTATGGTGGCGGCGGATTTTTAGGCGCGTCGCTTGCACCTTTCTCACCCGGAGGAAATCCGGCAAGCAAGAACTTCAAGGTGCGGGATTTAGAACCTCCCAAGGAGGTTTCCTTTGAACGCGTTGAACGCCGTCGTTCGTTACGCCAAGCCGTTGATGCCGCCTTCAAAAAATATGAGGCAGGCAATCCGGCTGCCGAAGCCGTCGATAGTTTCTATACCTCCGCTTATGACCTGATGAGTTCCACCGATGCGCGTGCCGCGTTTGATCTCGGCAATGAGCCAGACAAAACGCGCGATGCATATCAACGTAACACCTTCGGACAAAGTTGTCTCCTTGCCAGAAGGCTCGTTGAGGCAGGTGTTAACTTCGTCACTGTCAGTAACGGTGGATGGGACAACCACAACAACATCTTCTCATCGTTGCCGGGTAAACTCAACGACTTTGATCGGACGATGGCTACCTTAATCGAAGACTTGAGTGATCGAGGATTGTTGGAAACGACCCTCGTTTTGGCTATGGGTGAATTTGGAAGAACCCCGGTCATTAACCGCAACGGCGGACGCGACCACCATTCCCGTGTTTTCTCGATTATGTTAGCTGGCGGTGGCGTCCAAGGCGGACAAGTCATTGGTGCTTCAGATCCGCTTGGCATGGAACCCGCGGAAACCCCTGTACGTCCAGAAGACTTGTCAGCAACGCTCTATCGATGCCTCGGCATTGATTATAATCAGCATCTGGAATCGCCTGATGGGGTTCGCATTGTCCTCTCACGTGGTGGCAAACCCATTCGCGGCGTTCTCGCGTAATTAGCAGTTGGCTTTCGGCTATCGGTTTGCCTCGTAGTGAGAGTCGTCGGTTTGTTTCGAGACTCGGTGTGGTGTTTTCCCAAGGAACCCGCACCTACCGGGTAAGAATTATCGGAATAGAACCCAAAGACGCCGCAATCTTGGCAAAAACCCGATTTTTTGACCATCAACTCGTCTTCCACACTTTGTAAAGGCACGAGTTGATGATCAAAACGGAAAAATCGGAGCGAAACCCCAATAATTAAAAAATGTTGTTAGCAGCGTCCTACATCATCTTTGCAACCTCTCTCTGTTTTGCAGCAGTTCCTCTATCCCCGATCTGGTCACTTGAATTTAGTCCCGATGGTAAGACACTTGCTGTCGGGAAATATCAGTGGGTTGAAATCTGGGACCTGGAAACGCAGCGCGTCGTTTACACGTATGAACCACATGCCGGTGAGGTGCGGAGTCTCGCGTTTTCTTCAGATGGCAAAACACTCTATACAAGCGGTGGTCTCGCTTCTCGGAGCGGCGAAGTCCGAGTTTGGGATGTCTCCTCTGAAAAACTCATTAAAAGTTTAGAGATTCACGGCGATACCATTGAATCCATCTCGCTCAGTCCAGGTAACACGACATTGGTCACTGCGAGCATGGATGAGTATAGTGCTGTTATCGACTTAACACGACTTGAGGATACCGACTTTTCGATAGATACACAGGTATCCAAATGGCTCACTCAACACGTTGGCAGGGTCCTCTGTACTTTGTATCATCCAGACGGAACTTACTTTGTCACCGGTAGCGAAGACAAAACCATAAAGGTATGGAATCCCAACACTTACACCGTCTTGGTGAACTTGGATGCCAACGATGACGCCGTCTATAGTCTTGCGTATTCAGCCGAAGAAGGTGTGATTGTCTCTGGTTCTGCCGATAATACTGTTCGAACGTGGCGTGTTACACCGGCGGGAAGTGGCGGTGAAGGTGCCGTGGGGCGAAGTTCGCTGGAGATGACAGGGACGCTCGTTCGTGAATACAACGGGCATCAAGGTGCCGTCTATAGTGTTGATTCCGGGCTTGTATCACTTAGATCCACAAATAGTCGGATGACAATGATTGCGTCCGGTAGTGCAGATACTTCGGTGGTTATCTGGAATCTCCGGTCCGGCAACCGCTATGAGACTTTCAATGAATCAACGGATGCTGTTTATGCCGTCAAGTTCAGTCCAAATGGCGAATTTGTCGCGGCGGGTGGTCGTGATGGCAAAGTCCGACTCTGGAATCTCCGTAAGCGCGCCTTAACCCACGAATTCTTTAAGGAATAACCATCGACTCTCGGCTTTCAGTAAGAAGTTTTGTTTATTGAATACCTCTTTACTGACTGTTGATGGCTGACCATTGCTGGCTATTCCTTTGATAACTGTTTTTGGGGGACTTTTACGATGCGTACCAGGACTTTCCCTTTTCTGAAGCGCGATTTACCTTCGTATTGCATACCATTTTTCGCGTTGCTCTTCCTTTCAATCGCTATACCTACGTTTGCGCAAGGTGTTCCACGGCTCAATTCGCTGTTTCCGGCAGGCGGGGCAGCTCGGAACGACTATCGAGATTGCAATCCAAGGTTCCGATTTAGAAGGAGCACACACCCTTATTATTGAAGGTGAACCCGGAATCACCGCCCAACTGTATCCTGGTGGTGGCGCGGTTGATGACACGTATAAGCCCGTCTTTGAGGCGAATTGTGGGCAATGTCACGAACTCCGATCTCCAAATAACCGATCAATGACGCCAGCACAGTGGGAAACCACTGTCCGACGGATGGTTACAGAGAAAGGCGCAGAGATCAATGCAGAAGCACAGTCCCAAATTATCGCGTATCTGACATCGGCGGCGAGAGCCAGTGGTGGGTTAACCGCTCAGTTGTCAATCGCATCGGATGCCCCTATCGGGATGCGCGAAATTCGGGTCGTTGGTAAGCACGGCACCTCCACGGCGTGGCCCTTTGAGGTTAGCCAGACCCCTGATGTCCTTGAAACAGAGTCGAATAACACTCCAGAAACCGCTGCTATTATTGAGTTGCCGAGTCTCATCAACGGGCTGATTAATCCCGGTGGAGATGAAGATTATTACGTTTTTGAAGGAGCGAAGGGACAACGGTGTGTGTTCAGTGTTAACGCGTATCGTCTCAATAACATTAGCCAGCAATTCTTCAATCCCACTCTCTCTCTTTTCGATGCAAAGGGGGTTGAATTGGCACGGAGTAACGGATTCTACAGTTTAGATCCACTTCTTGATATTACACTGCCTGCCGACGCGTTTTATGTGTTGCGTATCCGAGATTTGTTGCATCGCGGCAATCCGGATTCCGTTTATCGCTTAACAGGCGGCGTTCTTCCTTACAATACCTATCTTTTTCCCGCCGGTGGCACGCTCCCTAACGGAGATCGCTTCTCGAAAGAGGAAGCTGAACGCTTCTACGGACCGCCCACGCCTCCCGAAGCCAATATTGTTCAGTGTGTTATTGGAGGCGAGAATCTTCCGCAAACCGAATGGCAGATTGGATTGACTGCAGATGAACAGCCAGGACTCAAGCAGATTCGCACACCCTACGGCATTTTTCCCTTCATCGTCAACGCTCACTCGGAAGCCGTCGAAGAAAGGACGGCAATTCAGTCCGCGCAAGAAACGGAATCCAAAGTGCCCAGCCTGAAACAAAGTGGAAAGCGGATATTAAGAAAGGCAGGTCAAGTCCAAAACACCAAAAACCAAGCCCGAAATGAAATGGAGGGCGACTCGAACGCGGAAAGCACTAACATACAAGCCACTGGCACTTATCCGCAAGGTATAATTGAAAAATTTGAAACGAAGTGTGCGGCGTGCCATGAGCTCCGTTCACCAAGCAATCGAGCACTCTCTACCGAGGAATGGGAACGCACCATTACACGGATGTCGAATAAGGAGAACGCCGACATCACACCCACCGAGCGCGACCGTATCATCGCTTTCGTTGCCCAAGAAGCGCAACGTTTAGCCGGGCTCATCGCACGCCAACTTGAACGCGCACAGCACCTCACAACCCCGGGCGCACTCAGCGGACGCATCTCAGAACCCGGTGAGGTGGACTACTACCGACTTACCATTTCGGAAGGAACAACTCTCGGTCCATGGTGGGTGATTTTTCCGTTTGGTAACGTTGATGAGAGCGGGTTTGATACCGTCTATCCCCCTGAAACTGAGATAGATTTCAATAAGGAATACATCGGCAAAGAGGGGCGAAAGATCGGGTGGTATAAAACCGATAGTAGAGGCGAAAATGTCTTCTCAAATGTTCCTGAAGACGATGTCACAGGCTATGCCTTAACCTACCTCGAATCTGACCGGGACCAGAACTATCTCTTATCCCTCGGTTCTGACGATACGATCAAGATATGGGTGAACGACCAGCTTGTTTTTAGCAAATACGTCCACCGACCGCTCCGTCGTGCCGATGATGTTATCCAGCTGCCAGTCTCTAAGGGCAGAAACAAGATTCTGGTAAAAGTTACGAATGGGTACGGACCGTGGGGATTTTTCGCAGATATAGGGGGTTATTCGTTGAGTGTCTCCGCAGAACGTCTCAATTCGCCACTGAGTCCCTCACTCACCTTACTCAATGCCCGTGGCGAGGTGTTGGCAAATAATGCTGGGGTCGGCGGAAGACGCAACGCTATCATTGATTACAGTTTCAATGAACCCGGTGTATATGCTGTTCGCATCGAGGATATCGCTGGCAATGGCGGACCAGGGTACGTTTATCATTTAGATGCCCGTCCGACAACCCCGGATTTCGCTATCTCCGTAACACCTGACAACCCGAATATCGGGCGTGGTGGAACTGCCCTATTGGAGGTGACCCTGCAACGCCGCGTTGGGTTTACAGAACCGATACGACTCTATGTTGAAAACTTGTCACCCGACATTACTGCCAGCGAGAGCGCAATTCTCTCCGGTACGGGTGTGACACAGGGATACATAACCCTTACCGCTACTCCCGATGCCGAGTTGACGTATCGGGTTGTTCAAGTTGTTGGTGCGGTCACTACTGCCACTGGTAATGAATACCGTCGCGTCGCGGCGCCCGTTGAGGTCTATCGCATTCAAAACAATGACCAAACTGTCCAACGGAAAAACGTTGTGGTCAGTGTTACGGAGACCGCACCCATCGTGTTATCAACGGGATTGGAGGAGGTCGTGGTAACCCCCGATGCACCGGTTGACATCACCGTCAAGGTTGAACGGCAGAGCGGCAATAAGCAAAATCTGAACCTCACTGCTGTCGGTCTACCCTTTGGTGTGCGGCTCCAACGGCGAACGACTGTGCTCCAAAAAAATAAAACCGAAGCCATCTTGACGTTTATGCCGAATATTATTACCACCGGCACCACCGGCAATCAGTTACGCCGTAACCCCTTCATCGGTGCGCAGCAGACGCTTCCGTATATCGTTGTCATTAACGCCTCGGTCGGCCAACGGATTGTGGCGAGCAGTCCTGCCATCAAACTCTGGCTTGGAGCCCCCGGAAATACGAGTCAAGATGCGCTACTGGGTGGAAATTAAGCCTTAACTGGTGGTCATTGCGTTTTTCCGCGCACCGTTCGCTTAAGCACACCCCATAGCATCAGTTGTGTCTTTGAACTCGGCGCGACAGCAAAAGCCGTTGGCACCCATACCGGTGAAAAGTCCTGTCCGAGGTGCTCTGTCAATGGTATCTTATATAGGCGTATAAAATCAATGTTAACGCAGAGCCATTCAGTTCTTCTGTAGGAGGGAACTCCGATTCCCGACATACTCCAGTAGGAGCGACCTTTTCCCAGAAGCATTGAGTTCTTCTGTAGGAGGGAACTCCGATTCCCGACATACTGAATGGCTCTGCGTCCGACTCAGGTTAAATTTGAAAAAACGACAACCAGATGAAAATAAATTTGACTTTTCCATGATTTCGTGGTATCATTAAACTCTGTGTGGTGATGTCGGATTTTTAATTTGACAGACATCGTTTTTAGTGGTATACTATAAATTCGTTGAAAATTGAAAAATAAATTTGACATCTCTGAGATTTTGTGGTATACTTAAGAACGTGCCACATGGGGGTGTAGCTCAGCTGGGAGAGCAACTGCTTTGCATGCAGTAGGTCAGCGGTTCAAGTCCGCTCATCTCCATCCGGGTTAGTTGTCTCCAGAAGAGGTATAATCACCTTTAGTACGAGAGAAACGAGGTGGACGAACTTGGAAATCGGGTGGCGGAAGAGAATCCTTCGGGAGCGATCCCTGTGTTCATGGATACCGAGTAGAGGATTACGTGCTCCGATTTTACATGACAGAGAGTCTGTCTAAAAAATAAATTTGACATTGATGATTTTTAGTGGTATACTATATAATCATTAATCGTAGGGATGGCTCGGTTAGGCGAGCGTCTGTCATTAAAGTGGCAGAAGACGGTTCGATTCCGTTCAGTTCTATCGCCTATGAGCGTGATGCGCTCAATAGGTATTGTTCTTTGACA